CCCTCGCCGGCGGGGACGGAATTAAAACGTGTCGCAAGTCTCGCCGGCCTACGAGTTAGCAGTCGTATAGCGACGCGTTCGCCTCGACTCGCCGATTAGATACAATCTTCCCTCCCTAGCCCCGCATAACCGGTGGAGGGTGTAATTGCAAAATCAAGGAAGAGAGGCGCCTCGCGTCGTTAATTCCTCGTCGAAATTGATCCAGCAGATGCAAACGATCGCGACTGCTATTTCCGTCGCGCTCTCGCCTCCTACTCCCCCCATCGCCGCTGAACTCGGAGAATTCACGGGGAACACGAACTTTCGGCGTTTCGACGGGAAAATCCGTTTGTATCGGTCGATAGGCGACTAAAGCACGATGAAGTGGCTACGTGCGGGGCGATCGATGAGCGCGAAGGCTCGAGATATTTCAGCGGCGAGATCCGCCGCGATAAAAGTATCCATCCCGAAGACACATCGACGAGCTCGGTGAGGTGATGTGTCGTGTGTGTGTGTATGAGAGAGAGAGAGAGGTCGCACGGCTGACGCGGCGTCGGAGAGGATGACGACGACGAGGAACGGGCCACCTTTTGAAATTCACGAGCGCAAGGAGAGAGCACATATACTCTCCCTCTCTCTCTCTTTCCCTTCCTATCCTTTCCCCTCTCTCTCTCTCTCTCTCTCTCTCTCTCTCGTTCTGACGGGACTCCGCTCCTCCTCGCGTGGACGTGGAGATCCGATCGATCGATCGAAGCGAGCCGCGCACTCGAGTTCTCCCTGACCTAAGAATACAGCCGCTCGAGTGCCGCGGTACCCGGGGGTGGAGTGGACTCCAGAATGGACCAGAGTGGGGATCGAAGTGGAGAACCCCGCCCCCGTTTAAGCGACGCCGGACAACGATGACTGCGGATTTTGTCTCTTCTTTCTTGCTGGCGTCACTCTCGTCGCCGCGGCAGCCTCTTGTTGCTCCCGCCGGGAATAACCTCGAGGGTTATTCGCGAGAAGCAGCACAAGCCGTGGGGAGGAGGGGGAGGAGCGGAGGGTGGCCCCCGCCTCCTCGCGCGGCTCGGAGGCCGCCGAGGATCCGGCGGCGATCGTCCGGCGCGATTTCGCGCGGCGAGTCGCCCGCGAGCGTCGAGTAACGTGCGAGTTATCGCTTCGCGGGAAATGCCCTCGCGTCGCGATAACTCCGCCGCGCGGAACGAGCGTCGGATGCAAATTCGATGGCGCGGCGGTGGAGGCGGCGGCGGCGGCGGCGGCGGCGGCGGCGTCGGCGCGCCCCGCCAGGAGCCGTCGCGTCGCGGTCGCGTCGCGTGACGCCGAGCGATTAGATTAGAAGCCGACGACGGCGGTTCGCGAATATTTTTTTGGCCGCCGCGGTTGACGGATCAATTACGTTATCACGGATCGCGGGGAGTTCCCCTCTCGCCAAAGTTACCGACCTCGACCCCCTCCCTCTCTCTCTCTCTCTCCCCCCCCCCTCCCCTCTCTCTTTCTCAGTTTCTGGGTGCTTGGGCTACGTGAACCACTCGAGAGGGCGAAAGTCGCGACCTCCGAAAGCACGCGCGGCCGGGCCTTCGAGGGGGGCATGTGAGAGCGCGCGCGACACGCGAACACACTCGACCTAACCTCCGAATCAACTGGTTCGCCTTCTCTCTCTGTCGCAGAAACGAGCCGAATGATGTTCAATTGACGAAGACTGCGCAGCGCTAGGAATGGCCCTCTTCAGTTCCGTCTTCCTGGGTGTCTGGGGAGTGTTCGTGGTCATTTTGATACAAGGTATTCGCTCCTCCCCCCTGCCCTCCCCCCTCTTTAGAGTTATTCCCTCTAAGCAGCATGACCCCTGATGCGGCCGTCTTGTCCAATGGGAGGCGTTGTTTTACGATCAGAGAATTCTCCCGTTCGACAAGACGGATGCGTTCCGAAACTCATGCACAAATTAGCCTGTCACCTTTCTTCATCCGTGATTGTACCACTTCTTGATATCGGGCTTCATGTACGCCTCAGAAATCCGCCGCAGTTTTGTGACGTCAGCAACGCGGACCCAAAAGTTTTATGCTGAAGCAAAAGTACAATGTGTTAATGGAAGAAAATAATATTTGTGATCGATCGATCGAGCAGAGCTGCAAAATAGTTCGGACTCTTTTGCTCTTGCACTAACAATCGATAAATTACCATGAAATTGATGCAATATGCAACCTGCCTTTCCTCGCCATTCTGTCGTTAGTCTTGCGACTGTTTATTGATCGTAAGAGCAAAGGCAGACTTTACGGAATATTTTACAGACGCATTCGATCGATTGCAAGATTACGTTTCATGGACACGTCCTTTTATTTCAACGTATTCCGCCATACATTTCCTCGTTACTGACGTCACTTGTCAAGATTGCCGAAGCGAGGAAGCAGAAGCCTTTTATTCGCCAAAGTTTCCTGCTATTGAGGCTGATCCGGCCTTTGGGTTGATACCGTGACCTTCGGTCACGGATTTGTTTCCAACATTTAGCGAATATTTCAGTCCGCTTCTTCAGCGTGAAAAAGGACTTGAAACTATTTCTTCCCCGGAGAAGCGAGCTGAAGTGTTCCCAAAACGTCTGTGGAAAGAGGACTGATTGAATTAACATGACGACAAATGAATGAAATGAGTTTAATTCCAAGAACCACCAATTTCGTTTCCTTCACTCAAAAGATCTTCAGCTCGTTCATTGTTGCATTAATTCCGGCCAATCTTTTTGCTCTATATCGGAAATCAATCCACGATGGATACGGTAATAACCCAGAAGCCGGAGCAAACATTTCCCCACACCGAAGAAACCTAAACTATTAGTTTCTTACAAGTCTCAATATTACGCGTAGGACGGATCGATTCAAGGATTGTTAACCACGCGTTTCTCATTCACATATTTGACGCGATGACAATAGTGGAAAAGAGATCGCAAAGTATCTCTTTTTAGATCATCGAAGGCACGAGATAAACTCGGGTAAGATGGCTACACGAGAAAGATGACTGTAGATTGCAATTTCTCCAATGTTTACCAACTTGTGTGCGTTTTCGTAGTCATTCTCAAAGATAATTGATATTAACAGTAGTTTGCGCACAAACACTATTCGAAGTAACAATATCGTGAATATGGCGGCCATTTTATCTGAGCTTACCCCATCTATGAAGTGCGCTTAAAACAAACACTTTGCAGTTCCTTTTCTCGTATCGTTCTCTCACGATGAATACATAAACGAACCAGCTTGACTCGATCTTTCCTACAATGCGTAAGCTTATAAATTGTGCAAGTGATCCCAATAATACGACCACGGCATATAAGATGCGCAAAAAATACCAGGTTGGCGAAATGAAAAATGATAGAAGAAAATGTTTCGGACAAAAGTTGTATGGTTTCAAGGGGGACATGAAACGAGACTATATCATGTTGTTTATAGATGGCGCCACTTTCGAGATATTTACTAAACATTGCTTTTCTCAAACCGAAATCTGAATTTTTTAATTATATTATCTTTTTCTACCAATTAATTTGAACAACTTTTGTCGAAAAGATTTTTTTATTTGAGATATTTTTTGAGATATTTAAGGAAAACCTGATAACTTGTTTAATATTTAATTTACGACATCTCGCTTGCTATTATATCTCTATATAAAGAAAAAGTGGTACTAAACTTTTTTATTCAAAAATATATTGTTACGATAGCGCCCTGATTTTTGTTAATTTGATGATTTTAAAATTTCCAAAAGTCGATAAGTTGGCAAAAGTTAGGGTATTATTGTAGCAATGTATTCTATTGTAACAATTATTTTTTCTTCTGACAAGTATAGTTAGTGAGATATCGTAAATTAAATATCGGAAAAGTTTTCCTTAAATATCTCAAATATTAAGCAAATAGAAAAATATTTCAGACAAAAGTTGTTGAAATTAATTGGCAGAAAAAGATGATACAATAATACAGTCGGGGTTTTCATTTAAGAAAAGTGAATGATCAGTGAATATTTCGAAAGTGACGCTATCTGTAAACAAAATGATATAGTTGTCCCCCTTAAAACCATACAGCTTTTGTCTGAAAAATTTTTTTTCTAAAATGCCTAGTTTTCGAAATATTTCGTCGTCGTGATACTTTTTATACATTCTGTATATGACGATTGCTACATTAGAAGCTACCATATTTCTTTTTATTCTTCACGGAGAAAAGAGATTGATCGAATTTTAACATGACAATGAGCGGACCAAGCGCATTTTAACGTGAAGAAAACGAGATTCCTGATTCTTATGGACCAAAAATTCACTTCTGAAAACTTTCCAGAAGTTCCGTTTCCTCTAATTAAATTCTGCCGAGCAAATACACTTCTACGAGAGAACCAGAAATTCTGTTCCCCTCAGGCAAGCTTCGGTTCGTTTATTGACACGTTAATTCAAGCAATCTGATTTCTCCGCGTTCTATAAAAATTCAAGCGCTAAGCACAGCTCTCGCTGCCTTCGGCGGTGCCGGCCGTAATCGGCCGTTGTAATTTCTTCGCGGAGACCGAAGTCGCTCGTTAATGACGAAACATTTGCAGAATCGACACCCGTTAGCTGGGAGGAGTGGTGGACGTACGACGGTATTTCTGGTGAGAATCTCACGCTTCTAGAATCCACCTCTTTTGAAATATATTCCCGCCCCCCCCCCTCCCCTCACGTGTGCCGCCGAATACGATCCGTCGAATAATTTAATCGCATTTAAAGGTCCCGCCTTCTGGGGTCTTATCAACCCGGAATGGTGGCTCTGTAACAAAGGTCGAAGACAATCACCGGTAAATCTCGAGCCCACTCGGCTGCTTTTCGACCCGAATTTACAACCGCTTCACCTGGACAAGCACAGAATCAACGGTGTGTTGGCGAACACCGGCCACAGCGTCGTGTTCGCCGTGGAGAACGACACCCGTCATCCCGTCAACATATCCGGTGGCCCGCTCAGTTATCGTTATCAGTTTCATGAGATTCATCTGCACTTCGGCGCAGACGATCGCATCGGCAGCGAGCACACCGTCGACGGGCACGCCTTCCCTGCCGAGGTACCAAACACGCTGAAGACAGTCATGCAAATCGGTAACAATGTTCCCAAAGAGTCTCTCTCTCTCTCTCTCTCTCTCTCTTTCTCTCTCTTCTCGATATCTTCCCGTCTCGTTCCATCCGTCCATCCTTGACCGCGAAACGAATAGCGACTCGATTCAGTCTCGAATTTCATTCTCGTCGGAGTCGGATTTTTCTCTCCCCTCTTTTTCTTCCCCTCTTTTCAAGCGTAAACGACGGGAATGAAATCATTAAACTTTGTAATTGCATCGGGAATGAATTAAAACATACAGTGGGCCGCGCAGCGCTCTGTTGGTTTTCATTATTCTCGCGCGGATATTGCGAGATGTTGAGGTTGAGTGTATCGAAATAAAGAGATAATAATTGACAGGCCATTAATATAGGCGATTATAAAACCCCGATTGTAAAACCTTGATAATTAGTAAAATCCGCGCGGGAGCGCCGAAAACTGACGGCGGCTGAGGGATCTTCCCCGATCCTTCGCGGGAAGGAAGGAGGTTCGGCGGTGAAATTAACGTCGACGATGAACGAGCGCGAAGAGCGTTTTAGTCGGAGGGGAAAGGATTCCGGCTCTTGGAAGCAAATTCGCTCCGTAAGAAGCAGAAGCGTTCCGTTCCGTTCGGCCGAAATACCTTCGGTTCGTTCATTGTCACGCGAATCCGATCGAACCTCTTTCTCCGCGCTGCTCGCGCGTTCTTCTTTTTTTCTCGCGGAGAACAAACGACATCATCGAAGGCAAACAATGTCGAGGCGCGCAATCGTTATTGTCCTGAAAGAAAGAAAGAAAGACGCTGGCAGTCGCCGGAGTCGCTAAATAGGTCGTAAGTCTTCCGTTCTCGCGCAGCTCCAGATCTTCGGCTTCAACTCGCAGCTGTACAACAACTTCTCGGACGCCCTGCACCGGGCGCAGGGGATCGTGGCGGTGTCGCTTCTTTTGCAGGTACATGCCTAATCTCGGCCGGCGGCGCTTATCGCGCCACGAATAAAGATCGGAATGAGCGATACGTCATACGACGCTCTCTTGCTGCTTTTCTAGGTGGGCGACCTCTCGAACCCGGAGCTAAGGACGTTCACGGAGCAGCTGGATAAAATCAAATATGGAGGTGAGCGGACCAATAATATGGCAAACTGTGTCTATTTGTGGAGGGCGCTCGGCGCCCAGGGACGGGGTATCCCTCCGCGAGTAGACTCTGTGGAAGCGCTAATCTCGTTTCAGCCGGTGAATTTTCGTCCGCGCGCGCGCCGCACTTAAAAAATACCCTCTGCCACCCGCCACCTCCGCCGCCGCCGTCGCCGCTGCCGCGTGAGCCGGAATTAGCATAACGAACGGCGAGATTAATAGCATTATATATATATATCTCTCTCTCTCTCTCTCTCTCTCTCTCTCTCTCTCTCTCTCACGAGGGTCCCAATGTCGTTAGCACGTGATACTTTGCATCGCCACGCTAACGTATTTCCATCGAAACGATACGCGTCCCGTTTGATCCTCGCGAGCCGAGAGCGGAAAGTCGCTCTCGGGGAAACATGTTCCCCCCCTCCCCCCCCCCCGCGTCTACGCGTTTCTTCCCTCTCGCCCTAATAAGTTTACATCTCGGGATAAAAAGGTGCTCACGGATGAGAAAGTCGAGAGATTGATGTACTTTCGAAAGTTCGGCGGCGGCGGCATGCATTATAACTTTCGAAAAACTTGGCCGCGCCATTGTCGCCAAGTTTTTCCGCCGTGGAAGATAAATCGATAATTACCGTCATTCTTGAAGGGAGCGCGGCCGTTCCTTGACGGTATGCAAATATGATCGAGCGGTGTGCGCGATAACATTAGCGATACGTATAACGGCGTATACGTATCAACTGTGTGCCGCGCGACGTCGATGTAATCGAGTGACACGTATGCATGTATGTATGTATACATGCATACATGCATGCATGCATGCATGCATACCAGCAGGCGCGGGTACATGTGTGTGCATGTATGTCCTCGCATGTATGCATATGTACGCGAGCGAAGTTGACGTTATCGACCGTATGAATTGCACAGGGCAGGCCATGGAAATTAAACGTTTCGGAGTGCGCGAACTTCTGCCGGACACGAAGCATTACATGACGTACGACGGCTCCACCACGATGCCGGCGTGTCACGAGACCACCACATGGATCATCCTCAACAAGCCCATATACATCACCAAGCAGCAGGCAAGTATCGCCGCGCCGCCGCTTTTAAAATGCATGCACACGCCTCCGCTCGCTCGTCTTCCGCGCGAGCGAGCGAGCAGGCGAGCGCGCGACCAGGTACAGCGGATACTCAATTATGCAATTCCGATCATTAAGAGGGGGTCTTTGAAACATCGGGCAACTTCGGCCGTACTTCACGGGTAACTCTGGATAATTAAAGTATCGCGAAGCGAGACGAGAAAGGAGGCACTTGCCGAAGTCGAGGCAACGCTATCGAGGATTACACTCGCCGGATTCTCGCCGGAGGACGCTGTTGATCTCGGGAGTCGGAGGGAGTCGCGAGTTGCACAGGGTGTAACATCAACATACAGATCGGTATGACGGATTGCTCAACCTATTTGGATGATAATGCAGAGGTTGCCGAAAAAATCATTCATATGTTGTATTACTTATCTCTTTAACTATCACTCTTATTTACTCTGCTTAATTCCGTAATGTTTACTTCTCAGTTTCACTTTTTCAAACATCTTTTTTAATTTTCAATGAGGTTCGACTCCTGTCGGTAAACTGTCATAACGATGCACGGTGCAACGGTTAGTTGCACTCGTCATAACTGGGAACGCTGCAAATATCATTACCAACAAAGTCAACGAGTGACTTTTTTTTTTCGGCAAGCTCTGCATCATTGCTCGAATAAAGACGAGCGCAACTCTGTTATATAACCCTGTTATAATAATGACCTGTATGTTGATGTTACGTGCAATGGCGAGAACATTCAAACTCCTACTCGCGTCGAGTTTACCTCGGTTCCATTCAGTCAACTGTATACTTGATTGAAAAGCTCGTTCAAACGTGCAGGGAAAGAAGATAAGAAAGAGCGAGAAAAGCACGTCTCATTTAAGCTAAACATTCATGCGTTGGTAGAACTTGTTAAGTCTTCTCCGCCGTGGGACTTGATTGGTTGGACATCAGAGGCGAGAGAATACACGCTAAAAACTCTCGCAAAGAAGAATGATGTTGAAATAAGTTGAAATATAAAAAATTCCTTCTCAAGTGACACTCGCAGTCGTCTGTTCGACGTCTGTATTCAGACCTAAAATAGTCTGAATATGTTTTTTGTCGCTCTGACAAGCGGTGTAGATGACCGTGAGATTAACGTGTGGCATGCAATTTACTTTTCCGACCTATCTTTACTCGCAATTTTATCGCGCGAATTTTATGGTCGATCGATTGTCAGCGAGCGAGAGAAAAGTATGCGGACTATCCTAAAAATCTGCTCCGATAATTGCAGGTGTCATTTTGCGAACATAGCTTTTGATGTCAACATATTTCGCAAGGAATTTGTAGAGTGTGTCTCCTCGGTTTTTCACCTTTAATAAGTCAAGATGGCCGCGACGACGAGACAGGGGCCGTTAAATTGAATGAAAGAATTCCTTGCCGTTTTGTAAATTACCCCGGTAATTACTGAGATATTATTGAAAGAAATTCATTCTCAATCAGTGCGCGCGCGATGCGAACACTTTAAGCAAAGTCCAAGGTATGTTGCTTGACAACTTCTTGGCAACGGCGGGTTGTACGTAACGTTTGACAATGGAGATGTGCAGCTTCGTAATGGCGGAATGCGCATCTCCACTGCCCAGTGCCATGTCGTGACCGCGTTTGATTAATATTATTGAATTGTTCTTTTTGAGGTCAAAGGATTTAACCAGTTTACCTCGGGATGAACGAGTTCGTGTGTGTAGCATTTATGAACGTATATTGAATCTCCCAAAGGGAGGAACAAATGAGAATATTAAACTAACTTTATTTCCGTTTCTCTTAGAAGATCCTTCTATATTAATTAATGAGTAAAATTAGATCTTACACGTATCGGTTACGAGGTTACTGAGAATCGGAGAGTTCGTTAATATTTGAATCTGAATTCCAAGTTATTGTACTGTCTCATATATGCGGGCACTGCGAGTCTTGGTGTACTCGATGATGAATTAACTAATTAGTAATGAGCAAACCATCGAGTCAAGAGAGTGTTGCTTCGCTGTAGCCTTTTTTACAGCCGGGTGATGAAAAATCTCCACATGGGTTGTCGCCGCCTTTTTAGGAGGGGAACGATGTTTCTCCGGACACGAGAGTAGCAATTAATATCTATTGTTATCTATTAGCGCGTAACCTGAATTGCGCTCGGTTGTCAAGTGTAAGAAATACAAGAATTGATCAACACCAGCATTACGCAACCTTCGCCGTTCCCAAGAGATCGCCATTAGATTCAAACATCTCAAGGAACTCGTCTCCGAAACTTATTTGCCAATGTTCTCTCTCGTCGATACCCGAATAATTACCTCATAATTACAAAATGGCATTGGGACCTTTCAACTCAGTTTAATAAGTTCTATCGGTTCTCGCGCGAGCACTCGGACAATTCAATCTGGACACCCGGTATAACCCCGGCTATCCTTGTTCCTTTGAGCTGAAAACATTGATTACACATTCAGGCGCGAAGATGTTTACACTCATAACGGACTGTCAGCGAAGATGAACCGCTTGCTGGCGATAGAAAACTGTTGACCGATCAAAATTCATTAGACAGAGAAAGATATAGCCATCGCCCAAACTCGTCTCTCCTCTCCCTACGTGCCCGGGAGTTGAGCGTCGTAGTGAGCAGTGCTGCGCTTAGATAATTGAGAAATTGGCTAGATGAAGTAACATGAAGATGTAAACTCCTCTTAACGCTTTATCCGGATAATAGACGAATCCCAAAGCAATCTCGGTCTCGGTACCATCTGATACATGCAATACTAACGCAAACGTCTACGACGCAAAAACAATTATTTCAATATTTTGCAGCAATGTAGACTAAATTATTATATCCTCGAACGTTATCTTAGGTAATTTTGTAATGACTCAACTTTTAACATTTTTCTATTTATAAGAGAAGTGCAGGTGAAAAAATAATATATATTTGTATTATCTAGATAAAAGGAATATATTGGCGTCAGAATTTTATCTGAACAGTCATCTATATAATTTTTATTTTATCTAGATAACGGCAAACGCTGGCAGTGAGCTGTCTAATATAAGATAGAGTATTTAGGAAAAAGGATTCAGGACTTTAAAAAGCAGACAGTACTCACAAAATGCAGGGAAAATGTCTAATAAACACGGGTCGAAAAATTGATATTGTCGGAGTTATTTCTTTTAATTGAAGCGAGTGATTTACTCGCTTCTGGCGCACGCTGACTGGTGCTACACACGAAATGCATTTCTGCCATTTCTTGATTAGAGTAATATGATGTCCTTTTTGTCGTGTTGTGAGAACTTTGACAGGTCTCTGCAACTGTTCACCGTCCATGAGGATACGCGATTAATAATTGCTAAAAGCGTGCATATAAATAGGAAGAAAATAGATATTTATATACATGCTGAGCAAGAGCGAAGGGACTATTTTTAAAGAATTCCTTTAAAACATGGCACTTTCTTCACCGCTATAGACGAATTACATCAGATAATAAGCAAGAGCACCGGAAGCGAGTGAGTCACTTTTGCTTCGATTAAAATAAATAATTGTTCACAACTCCGACGATAGGAATTTTTCGATCCGTTGAGACTAGGACGTTTCTCCTCCATTTTGTGAGTACTGCCCTTGAAGTCCTGAACCATAGGCGACCAAGGGACCAACGGTGGGCCTGGGTGGACCCTGGCCCACCTAAAAATACGCTGGTCCATCCTTCGGCCCACCCTAAAATTTTAGCATAATTACGCTGTCCTATTCTGTCCAAGTTTTCAGCTTTTCTATATGAAGTTATTTTTATAATTAAAATTCTACAATTAATTTTAAATTCTATCTTCATAGTTAATTTCTACCAGAGACAAAGCGCAACGGTTAGAAACATCAGAATGAATGATAAATAATGAATGTTATATTGGGTGAGTGCAAAAGTTCGTGCGGAGTTTGTGAGTAAAAGTCACACAGTGATTAGGCAAACAAAAATCTTTATTCAATCAATGATATATTCTCCATCGTTTTCTATAATCTTTTCCCAACGTTCTGGCAGCATACGGATGCCTCGATCATAAAAACTGCGCGGTTTAGATTCGAAGAACGAAGAGACGCCGTTTTTTAAGGCCTCCAAAGAGTCAAAGTTTTTTCCATTTAAATAATTTTGCAATGACCGGAACAAGTGATAGTCAGATGGTGCGATATCAGGAGAATACGGTGGATGCGTTAAGACATCCCATTTCAGGCTCTTCAGTTTGCGCAGCGTCTTTTTCGAAACGTGTGGTCTGGCGTTGTCGTGATGAAAGACGACTCCCTTGCGATTTGACAAAATCGGACGTTTCTCTTTTATTTCTCGATTCAGATTGGTTAATTGGCGACAGTACTTGTCCGAATCAATCGTTTCGCCAGCGGGGAGAAGCTCGAAATAGATTATGCCCTTGCAATCCCACCAAACAGAGAGCATCACCTTCATCGGGTGCAAACTGGCCTTTGGCATTGCGTCACCATGCTCACCTGAGCTTGTTTCCATGTCCGTTTGCGCTGAACATTGTTGTAGAGGACCCATTTCTCATCGCCCGTCACTAGTCGATCCAAAAACGACTCGTTATTGAGCCGCCCGAGTAAAGAAACGGCTGCAGAAATTCGCTTGATTTTGTTCTTCTCGGTCAGCAAATGGGGCACCCATATATCGAGCTTCAAATCGAATCCCATCTTTTTTAAACACCGAAAAGCGGTTGATCGGTCAACGTTTAGTGCTGTAGCAACTTCTTCTGTTGAAATTCGCGGATTATTGAGCACTAAAGTACGCAAAACATCGTCATCAATGTCAGAAGGTCGACCAGAGCGTGGCTCGTCTTCAAGGTTAAATTCTCCGCGCCGAAATTTAGCAAACCATTTTTCCACAGTTCGTTTAGCTGGTGCTTCATCCTGATAAACATCCTGAATGTTTTTTACGGCTGCGGCAACGTTTATTCCCTTCCGAATCTCGTAAAGCATAACATGCCGTAAATGCACCTTATCGATACTCATTTTTAAAGTGATATTTCTCGAAGCAGTTTGTATGAAAACAAATGATTTTTTTTTTAATAACAGCTGAAGACGTCACCTTTCCAACGTTATATAATATGTAGATGGAAGTATTAATGACAACACTTTACGACGCTTATAACTCCATCTATTGAAACTCCGCACGAACTTTTGCACTCACCCAATATATAATAAATATGGCCCACCCATATATAAACGCCATGGCTACCTGTGGCTCATCCGAATAGTTCTGGCGCCACCGATGTCCTGAGCTCTGTGCAAGATTCACTGGTTCCTCCGTGGTACACACGCGGAGATCTCTCCGTCAGTCAAAAGACACGGCAGAGTCTTCGCGAGTTAACGAGATGTGGACGCCTTTCTAAAAAGAGCACGCTTAACTCCGTTGAGGGGTCTTAATTACGCGAGAACTACGCGACGACGACGATGGCCGCTGAATGTATCTCCGATGCAACGTTCCGCGACTTGTCCTTATAACTTGTGCTTATTCCGCGAAAATGACATCTGTTGACGATCGATCGTATATTCAAATTAGCCTCCATATCGGAATTGTAAATGCTGTTATTACTGATATCGACCTCGGCCGAGGTGATAAAATCACTCGTACGTTGTGCACGACAACGCGCGCTGCGCGTTATATAACGGCGCTCGGCGGAAATCGGATCAGGCTTGAATTTGATTTGAACTTTCGCGAACAAACGAGCGAACACGCGACGGCGGAGGATCCCGCGGCACGCCTCGCCGTCTCGCCATGTCCACCTCCCTCCCCCCCCCCCCGCCCCGCTTGTGATCGCTACTCATCTTTGTAATGATTGCAGCTGCACGCTCTAAGACAATTGATGCAAGGCGATGAGAAACAGCCGAACGCGCCGCTTGCGAATAACTTTAGACCACCGCAGCCCCTTCATCATCGTCCCGTGCGGACGAACATTGACTTTAACGTTCAGGTAATGACGCCGTGATAGCGCGATCGCGCTCGACGATGCGCATCGACGCAGCTGCTAATCCCCCTGCGTATTGTGTTTAGGGCCCGAAGAATTGTCCGACGATGAACAGGGACATATATTACAAAGGTACGAAGCGAAGTCATTCGCGGACGAATCTTGGACGAATCGATAGATAGAGTAGAGCTCGCGTACGCATTCGGAACATCGCGGAGATACCGTTAGTCGGATGAGAAATTGCGGTAACCGAGATCACGCCAAGACAGAGAGGGTGAGAGTGCGGGGAGGGGGGAAGAAGTGAGAACAAAGTCGAAAGACGCGATTCTCGTGGAGTGGGATAGCTTCCGAGGATCGAGTTGCCGTGAAAATATCGATGTCCTTATTGCCTAGAAGACGGGGCGGGGACTTAGAGAAGATCGTAGCGTTGGCTGATTCTCGCATTAAACATCCTTCCCTTGTCTCCCTTTTCAGCCAATAGCTGGAAATAATACCCAGCACTGCCGTGTGTGGTCGACGTTCGCAGTAACTACGCTTTTCCCCCCCCGGAACGAGCTGGAACTTCGCTGTAAGGAAAAAAATTGACATATCAATTACAGGCGCGACAGGCCAGGTCACAAAAGTTGCGGCGGAGAGAACGCGAGAGGAGCGTGACCGAGCGGCGCCCACGGCGCCGAGTGGTCGAGGTCTCGAGGAAGGAGAGAAGAAAAAGAAAAGAGAAAAAAAAAAGAAAAAATGCTTCGTTGTACTTATTAGACGTGAATTGCCAAGTATGTTTCCAGTTAAACAAGAAAAACAACCCAGATATACCTATAGATGACAAGTTAGACGAGATAAGCTAATCGTAAGATCTATTATTATACATATATCGATAAACTATCGAAAAAAAAGCTATGACTATCGTGGCCTGCGCGGGGTTTGAGAGATGCAATTATATGTATGAAAATTCAAGCGCGACCGAGCGCGCTATCGAGCGAAAGTTTATACTATATTCTTGTAATAAAAGCTTGGAAAGAAACGCACAACACGACGAGCGCTCTTCGCAGCGTCCTTTATCCAACAGGATCGCGGCTGTTTCCTCTTCCCTGTGGAGAAGTCGAGCCTTCCTCCCTCCCTCCCTCCCTCCCTCCCTCCTTCGATGTTGGCCCGCGACGAAAGAGCTCGAGAACTAAGCGCGCTTCCAAGCTCTCGTCGAGGCTCGACTCGTCTCGTTTCTAATCCACCGGCGGAGCAGAACCCTCTTCCGTCGCACTTCCGTTCCGCGCAACCTCCTCCTTCCGCCCATTCGCGAGGGGCAAGTCGCGAGCATTTATCCGTCGGAAACTTGGCTCGCAAAGTATCAAACACAGAGAGTAGCGAGACGCCGCTGGTGGGTCAGGCGAGAGTTAAAGTCCTCGGGGATTGCTGGGTATCCGGAGCGTACCTCAGTCGATAAAGCAGAGCCCGGCGGGGGCGTGAATCCTCGGCTCTGGACGATGAACGCGGTATCCTCTCGGTTCCTCGGGTCCGCGCAGCGGAGAAAATCGATTCCCCCTCGGTGAGGCGAAGTCAGCGGTAGCCTGCGCCTGCACCAGCTCCGAAATCTATCGGTTTCCCGCGTCTGCCGCTGTCGCGCCCTCGTCGCCCCCGCGCTTTCACCGTGCCGTGCACACGTAACACGAGGAGTAATCCTCTCTCTCGCCCCCGGAATCTTCGGCCGCTGAGAAAGCAAGGCGCGCGAAAGAAGGGACTCGCCGAAGAATGTTGAAGAAGCGAACGTCTCTCGACGACGTGGCGCGGCCGGCGGGCGAAGGGTGGCTAAGGGCGAGGGAAGGGGTGTTACTATCATTGAACCGCTACCCAGAATTCGACGGTGCTGCCCGCAGACGACTATGCGACTAGGATACCGGAAAGGGTGAACGCAACACGGTGGACTGCGCGAGGGGTGGGAAAGGGAGGGCGGCGGGCGGAGGAGGAGGAACGGAGAGGAGGGTCGCCAAGTGAGAAGGTGATAGGCAGGATAGCCTGTGGAAAGGGCGAGAGAGCGGGAGGCAGAAGACGGAGGGCGCGAAGGAGAGGGCGCCGTGCGCGCGCGAGAGAGGGACGGGTACGCGGATACAGATCCGTCGTGTCGGTGGCCGCTGCGGCAAATCTGCGGCTCTCCGTGGCCGATCATCGCGACAAAGAGAGAGAGAGAGAGAGAGAGAGAGAGGGGGGAGGGAGACGGAAAGAGAGTGAGACTGAGCGCCTCGTCCGTCGAAGCACCTGGCCTGGATTTGGGTGCTGGTGTATCTCGCCCGCGATCTGCCGCTGTGTCTTCCACGTCGCACGGTGTAGCGGAGTGCCCTCAGAGCAGCCTCAAGGTCGTTCGAAGTCCGCGGGAGTCCCGAGAGCGAGGGATGAGCCGCTCCGATGGGGCGATCGCCGCGCGATCGCGCCGCCCTTCGGTCGCCTACCGTTCGCCGACGCTCGACCCGGGTAGCGGTCCAAGCGGCTTGTGCGGATGCTTATCGTCGCCGACGAGATCTCGCCGGCACGGAGATTGATTGATCGGCGAAGAGAGGAAAGCGCTGGAGGACGTCGATGCCAGTCGACGACCTCGCGACTCAGGTGGGGGGTGTCCTCTCGTGAAAGCGGGTGAACACGGACGTCACGGCACGGTGGGTACGCGTGGCGAGGACGTTGCTCGACGACGAGAGCGTGCGTGCGTGCGTGCGTGCGTGCGTGCGTGCGTGCGTGCGTGCGTGTGTGTGTGTGCGTGCGTGTGCGCGTGTGTGTGTGCGCGTGCGTGCGCGCGCGTGTGTATGTGTGTATCACGACGCTCTGACACTCGTCGCGAAAAGAGACGGGCAGGGAGGTGAGCGCGTTCCTCTCTCGTTACTCCCGCGGGAGTCTCGACTCTCGCCGCGGAGAGACTCGTGTTCTCGCGGCCTTCGGCTCGCCCGTCGAGTTCGATCTCCTTGCGACTTCCGCGTTGCGATCACGGCCGTCCTGGTGAGGTTCGCAAAGAGTCGCTGGACCGTTGGAGTAGAACGTGAGTGAGGGAGATAGAGAGAAAGAGCAATTGAGAGACAGAGGGCGACAGAGAAGGTGTGAGAGAGAGAGAGAGAGAGAGAGAGAGAGAGAGAGAGAGAGAGAGAGAGAGAGAGAGAGCTGTACGAACGACTGCGCGGTACGGAGTCGATGAAATTCCGGGAGTGAGAGACAGTGTACGCTCGTCTTTAAGGTCGAAGGGAGGCTGTAAGCGGTCCCGTGATTGGTTAAGCGCGTCCGCGGGAATCCTCTTTTTTGCCTCGCTACGTGCGCTAATTCGAGTTCACGAGGCGACGTGATGCGAGAGACGGCCGATGAGAGCGCCTACGGTTGATGGCCGTCGCCCGGTGTGTCGCGCGCGCGTCAGGTCGGTCGAGGATCGGCCGACGTCTCGCGAGTCCAGGTGAGATTCCGCACGAAGACGAAGCGCGAAGGCAAGAACGGTGGACGCGACGTGATCCGCGCCGCTAATTCGCGCGACGGGCTGCCGCGCCACCGCGCCGTCGTCCTCGTCGCCGTTGAGCACGTCGCGAGTGCGGACTACTGGTGAATTGAAACCGCCGCTGCTCTCTCGCAGCCGTCGGTTCGACGAGAAACTTTCAAGCAACTCAATTAGCCCGCGACCGTGTCGTATCGTGTTCGCGCCTCCCAGCGAAAGGCGACACCGCCGGTAGATAGATCGCTGTTCCGGTTACTCGACGCCGTGAGAGAGAGAGAGAGAGAGAGGGAGAGAGAGAGAGGGCCGAGCGCGGTGTCGTGGGCTCGTTTTCAGGTTCATCGCGCCCCGCGATTAATTTATGATAAGTGTCGTAAGCCGCCCGTTGTGAATGCGTTGTGTCTATGCCTGTGTGTGTGTGTGGAGGGGGGGGGTTACGTCGCAGCGAGCGGGAGGGGGTTAGCGGACTCAGCGATTAATATGGCGAGACAGGCATATTCCGTTGATTAATATGCCAACCGCGAGGAGCACCGAGGCGACATTTAAAATTCATATCGCTCTCATAATCGATAATTTGTCACACGCGCTCCCTTTTTGATTTCGCCTCCGTCGGCGCAGCGGCCTCGGCGGAAGCGGCTTCAGCGGCGGCTCTATCAAAGGGCATCGTCGTCGGATCGGCGAGTGAGTGGACGAGATCGCTTCAGGGAGTCTCGTCCCGCAGCGGCTGAAGACGCGAGTAAGTGTTCTGCACCGATGCGAGCGCGTCGAGAACTCGTCATTTCCTATGTAAGACTCGTCATTTTTCCAGATTAAATCGCCGCGGGTCTGCCGAAGAAGGGTTGGAGCCGGGAGGGCTCAGGGCTTCCCGCGCGCACTTATGGCGCTCGCTTAATCAGGATGAGATCCGAGTGGCCGCTGACAATGCCGGTGCAACGACCGGAGGACAGGTCTGCGAAATGAAAGCTCCTGAGAAACAATGGAAGCGTCCGCGCGAGCATGACGGCCTCATTCAGTGTCGCGGACGGCACGCTTAGGCGGCTACAACCGAGACGCTCGAGTAAGAATAAGAAGCTTCTTTCTCCCTCTCTGCCTTTCCCTTTCTGTCTTCCTTTCTTCGTCTTTATCCAGCCATCTCCACTCGGCGCCGAGGAATCCCGTTTCCTCCCGTCCAATTCGCGCGACACCTCGCCGTGTCGCGCCGTGACACTTTCGACTCCCCCCGCGATAAATCTGCGATTTATTCGGCGCGATGAGACAAAGTCCGCCGCGACGAGACGCGCGACAAGTTTGTCCTCGGAATCATCCGCGTGATGAACGGTCGTTCCCGCGCTCTTGCTCGCCTCCGGAGAGACGCGACTCCCCGGCAAAGTCGCCGCGTGCCTACCTGTTATCCCGGCAACGTAATATTTCTTTCCTTTTATAAAGGACGTCGCCTTTATACGCCCGGACGTCCTATTTTTCCGCCTATATTAAATTCCTATTTCGGGGACGATAGTGCTTTCGCGCTCTCGCGAGCCTCCTCTCCTCTCCTCTCCTCGGACTCCTCGGCTCAAACGACCCCGATATGGGCCAACGATAAATCCATCGCGACGAATCTCGCGCTGGGACGCCGCGGCGGCCGCAAAGTATCGAGTACACAAACAATCGATTACGAGAGACGCGCCTTGACGTGAGGCCTTTGTTCCACAGCTCGCCACTGAGACGGAGAAGTGTCGTCTTCGTCGTCTTCGTCGTCTTCGTCGTCGTCGTCGTCGTCGTCGTCGTCGTCGTCGTCGTCGTCGTCGTCGTCGTCGTCGTCGTCGTCGTCGTCGTCGTCGTCGTCGTCGTCGCTCCGCTGCAGTGCTGACGGTATTGGTGGTGGTGGCGGCGGCGGTGGTGGTGGTGGTGGTGGTGGTGGTGGTGGTGGTGGTGGCCGGCACGTTGCTCTCGCCCGAGGGCGAGAAGGGGATCAGAGACGGATCAGCAGACAACGGGTACACCGATAAAAGGACGGTGTTATGTTAGTGACAAGGCGTCACCCTCTAGGAGGGCGCATACTACTCGCCCTCTTCCTCCTGATCGGGAGTTTCGCCTTGTTGTCGCGGGCGGCCGCTTTCCCGGACTGGACCGACTGTCCCGCGGTGTGCCGATGCAAGTGGACCTCCGGCAAGAAGTCAGCCCTGTGCCCCGACGCCGGCCTGACGTCGCTGCCGGCGTCCCTCGATCCGGATATGCAGGTGCTCGACCTCTCCGGCAACAAGATACCCGCGCTGCAGGCGGAGATATTCAAGCGAGCCGGTCTGGTGAATTTGCAGCGGGTGTTCCTGCGCGACGCCGGCATCCATGAGATTCACGCGGACTCCTTCAAAGACATGCGGATACTCATCGAGATCGACCTGTCGGACAATCACGTGATGAGCCTGGAGCCGGACACGTTCGTCGGCAACGAGCGACTGCGCATCTTGATCCTCAGCGGGAACCCATTGGGTGTGCTGTGCGACAGGCAGTTCCCGCTGCTGCAACACCTGCGCAATCTGGAGCTGCAGCGCTGCGCCTTGACCGAGATACACGGCAACGCGTTCGCTCACCTCACCGGCTTGGAGTTTCTCAAGCTGGACGGCAACCAGCTGCAGTACCTGGAGTCCTCGGTGATAGCCGGCCTGTCGAAGCTCAAGACCCTGACGTTGGACGGCAATCGCTGGCGATGCGACTGCCGACTGCGCGGCCTCCGCACCTGGCTGATCCCGGACGCGACCAGCAAGTTGTACTCCGTGTCTCAGGTCTGCTCCGGTCCGGACAAGCTAAAGGACCGTCGCTGGGAGGACGTGAAGCCCGTCGAGTTCGCCTGTGAGCCCGAGGTGTTCGTCTCGGCGAGCAGTATACAAGAAGAGACCAACGGTAACCTGAGTCTCGCGTGTCTGGCGACCGGCGACCCCGAGCCGGAGGTCTGGTGGCAGTTGAACGGCGGCCCGGTGAATGCCAGCAGGTCCGACCAGCCGTCGTACACCGGCGGCCTCGTGGTGTACGCGACGTCCGAGGTAACCGGTGGCAGCGCCGCCAACGGCGACCGGTCCTTCCGGATCGCCGAGCGGTGGAGCAACCTAACCGTGTACAACGCCAGCGAAGGCGACGCCGGCGAGTACGCGTGCCTCGCGCGGAACATCGCCGGGCTGGCGCGCGACACGGTGAGCGTGACGATACCCCGGGTGTACACAGCTCCCACCCTGTCGCAGAGCGACAACTGGCTGCTCTGGGTGAGCTTGGCGGGCGGCGGTGCCGCCGCGGTGTGCGCCTCCATCTCGGCGGTGCTGCTGGCTCTGTGTTTCTGCGGCGGCGGTCGCCGGCACAGCAAACGCGAGAAGGTGAAGTTGCAAGGTAGCGCGAGCTTCGGCGACCAGGAGAAGAAGCTGCTGGACCTGTCGGTCACCACCACCACCACGCCCGGCCACAACAGCAACGACCGCGGTAGCGGCCAGGGCAGCCTCGGCGAAGCGTGCAGCACCGGCGACCTTGAGCTGGCCGAGCGTGGCTCCATCTGCGACCCCATGGCCGCCGCGGCGGTGACCGTGGAGCGGCTGCGGCCGGAGAGTGGCGCGGCGGTCAACGCCATCCGCGCGGTCCCCTGCACAGCGGTGTTCCCGCCGCCGCCGCCGGAGTTCACCAGCGGGGTGTTGCCGGCCGGTATCTTCGGCAACATCTTCATCTCCGTGTCCTTGCCGCAGGACTCGTCGGAGCGCTGCTACCCGGACCTCCTCGACATCCCCGTCCACGCGGTGAGCGGCGTGGCCGCGCTCTCGGCCGGCGTGAAGACCACCGCGGCCTTGCCGGCGACCGTCAACGTGTCCAGCTTCGCCACGCTGCCGCGTCGTGCGCTCCGCAGCGCCGAGATCGGCTCGCCTTACGACAATATGGGACCGCGGGTCACCGCCAACGGCAGCTCCGCCTTCTCCTTAACGGACGTGGACCTGCGGCTGTCGCCGCCGCCGCCGCCGCCGCGGATCATCCAGCCGCCGCATGAGTTCGTCTCGCTCTAGGCCGCTCTTCGTCGCATCACGTCCTCGTGATCGCGTGAACCTCGTGCTCGGCAATGTGTCGCGTGCCAACAGCATCCAGCGGAGCGCGCAGGCGTGCATTGCGTGCGTCGTTGATTATCCGGCCGGATCGCGACGATTAGCCGTATGTGGCCGAACGCCTCAAGGACTCTCTGTTCTTCGAGAACACGCGCGCATGCGTGCGCTTCGACTGGGTGAGCCTCTCTCTCTCTCTCTCTGTCTCTCGGTGAGGTCTCAAGGACGAGTCGTTTTCCAGCTGGACGACGCTGGACGAGCGTCATCGCGGTATCACGCGCCTTTCGAGCGGGCTATCTCGTGCTGGCTTATCGTCGGAAGCGCCATCTTGACTGCCATTTGCCGAATCAAAATTTTCGAGTAGCCTGCATCTAGTGCGACGTAGATCTTACTGCCTCCTGATCGGTCGCACGACCGATCGTTCACCTTCACAAGCCAGCCATCTCGCCTGTTTGATGAGAAGTTTGAGAGTGATTCATCCCACAAGGTGTTCCAACAGGAGAAGTGATCGATGATCGACCCGCCTGGAACTGTTTCAGCGTCTTCAGAGATACCCGACGGGAATATTTTGCATCTGTCCTTTCGTTGTTCGCACACACGCACGATGCGGAGAGACGTGAGACAATAGAAGATAACGCGCCGACCTGGTGGTCCGCCTCTGCAGGCTCCGCCTCTGACCATCGTCACTTATTGACGCATCGATCAATACTTGACAGTACGCCGATTCGAAACACAACCGATAACCAAGCTCCCGAGGCAGCTTGAATATTTTATATCACGGAGGCATTTACGATCCTCTTCAATTATTTTGCAACTTTTTGCATCACTCACCGAGATGCGATAAAGAAGGGTTAAGAACGAAAGGTAACACACACACACACACACGATGGTTGATTCGTCTCGAAAATTTCGTTTATCGTCGCTTATTTGTGCATTCATCAATAGTTCATCCTACTCCAACAAACAACAATCCATGACCGAATTCCTGGGGCAGCTTGAGTTGATTCCGAAGTGCATCGTTGGCGACATTTTTCAAAGGTTCTCTTTGAATTTTCGCAATTTTCGCAAGGACGCGACAAAGAAGGGATAAAAACGGAAGATAACACAGAGTAGTCAGCTCACTCAGGCGCTTTCATTCACACTTCCAGACCATCGTCGCTCATTTGTGCGTTCATCGCTGATAGCTCATCGTGTTCCAACCGGGGAAATAATCGATAATGAAGGGGCGACTCCTATATATATCGGTCACAGAGACATTTTTTGATGAATGTTAATTACCCGTGAATTTTTGCATTATTAAAGATGCGACGAGGGAATAAAAATAAAAGATACACACACACACACGCACGCAGTGATTGACTCGCTCTGAGGCTTTCGTTCGTCTCCTGCCATCGTGCCCTACTTGCACATTAATTAATAGTTCAGGCTGCTCTAATTTGGCGGACGATCAATGACTGCGCCCCGGGGGCAATTTGGCTATTTTGGAAATCGTCGCAGATTTCGCCATTGGCGATATTTCCCGACGCATCCTTGCGCTGCACCCTCGGACGCCTCGTGTTGCGGACGACGCGCGACGAAGCAAGAGCGAGAGACAACACGCGCGCAGCGCGGGACGAGTGTCACCTGGACGGTATCGTCGCGTCACGAGATGTAAATCGTCGACTAACAGCCGGATACCTCGCGGGGAGAGCAGCGCGCGAATGTAGTCGTGATTGGACATCTCCCGCGGGTGCGATCCAAGTCGGCGTCATACCTACCTTTCCGTCGGCCGATCTGTCTGCGGCGAATTACCGAGACGGGCAAATCGATATCGCCGTCGTCGTCGTCGTCGTCATCGGCCGAACGACCGGCCGGCCGGCCGGCCGGCGTGTCACCGAGATCAGTATATGGAACATTTGATCAGGCCGATATAGGCCATGACTGTCCGACTTATCGAATATCTGTCTGTTCCGCTTGTCTACCTGCCTTGCCTGCTTGCGTCCGGCCAGCTGCTGTGCGCCCAGCGCGGATGTGTGTGTGTGTATGTGTGTGTGTGTGTGCTGAGTGACGGACAAGAGCGTGCGGGAGAAACTTTTTAGGAACTACGAGAGAGTAGTCCGAGTACCTCTTCCTCTCTTCTAGCGCGCTAAGTAAGCGGAGAGAGCGCAAGGCGTTTGTACATACAGGAAGAAATCCGGCCGGACGACCGCTTCCCTCGCGGCGGCGGGGCGACCGGCGCGCACTCGCGCGATCCCCCCATTATCTTCCCGTTCATTCTCCGAAGTGTATCACTAGTTTGTTACGTGCTCTCTACGTGTGTACATATTTGTTATTACATTACATCGTGTACCGCGCGCGCGACCAGGACGTTGCGACAGCGCGCGCATACGCCGGCGCGTCATACATGGATATTCATTATGAACACTTTGTCAATTATAAATAAAATCATTGAATTTTACATACATAGAGTCACAGTTGTTGTTGTTGTTGTTGTTGTTGTTGTTGTTGTCGTACTGCGCGCTCGCTTGAGCGAAACTCCTCCGTTTCCCCCTTGCCACGGTTATTCTCCGGTTGCGTTCGATTGTAAATTGCGACGGATTGCCGAGAGGCGGATTCATATTTGTCAGAAAAGCAGAACAACGGAAGCCAAGAGAGTGACAGACGCTGATAACACTAGTCTACATCTTGCGACTTTTTTTTTTTGTCACAAAAGGAGTGACACGTGATTTCTCCCGCAGATTGCGAATCTGAAATCCAAAATGTTCTATCGCGTCACGTTTTTGAGAAAATGGCGGTCAAAATGTGAGAGAAACGCGTTTTTGGCACTTTTTGAACCTCCGTCACAAGGAAACGGGACGTGATACGATACTGTACCTGGGCTCAAATTAAAGCTTGAACCTTAAACTTTAAATATATGACGCTAGATAACATGTGACAATACTGTGGAATCGTGTAACACTGGTTTTTTGACTAGGCGCGCGCCAATTTAGACTCCGCGTTTGACAGTAAACCTGATTACAACGGAAAGTCTCAAGTAAGCAAACGTAAGATAAAATAACTTAAAATAAGACAATTTAAGAAAGCTACTGAAAGTTAATATAAATTGTCGGTAATCAGATTAGTAGCTGCGAAATTCGAAATCAGCAGTTCCGGAAACTCTCAAAAGAACAGTTTCGTTAATACTTATATATATATATATATATTATTTTATATATTTTATTAATTCTCTTTTTATAATTTATAGTAACTTTTTTAAAACATTTTATTTTAAGTTAGTTTATTTTATATAAGCTTATTTTAGGCTTTACAGCGCAACTAAGTTCACTGTTAAACGCGAGATCGAAATTGGCGCGCGCCCAGTCAAAAAATCAGTGCTACACGACTACACAGTATTGTCATATGTTATCTAGCGTCATATGGTTAAAGTTTAAGGTTCAAACTTTAATTTGAGCCCACGCACAACATTGTATCCCGTTTCCTTGTGACAGAGGTTTAAAAAGTGCCAAAAATGCATTTTTTTCACATTTTGACCGCCATTTTCTCAAGAATATGACGTGATGGAACATTTTGGGTTTCAGATTCGTAATCTACGGGAAGAATCCTATCGAAATCATGTGTCACTCCTTTTCTGACAAAATCAGTATCGACTAGTGTAATCTGTCTCTCTCGCAAGAGAGAGAGAGAGAGAGAGAAAGAGACCATCAGCGCGACTTCTGACTGGATGCTGCCTTCCTGTTTTCTGCTTTTCTGTCCACGTGTGAATCCGGCCTAACGTTTACTGACGCGCAGATTGCATTTCAAAACGAACGCGCTTTCTCACATTTTCCTTCCACGCGCCGCGGAATCAAGCGGCGCCGGTGCGCGGATTCGGTTTCTCGTCCTGCAGGATATGCAAGATTTGATATAATTGTGCAACGCTACCTTCTCTTCCTCTTCCCTCCTTACTGCCTCTCATTTTGTGTGTGTGTGTGTGTGTGTGTGTGCGCGTGCATGCGTATTCGCGAGCAAAAAATATCGCGGCGAATTTCAATTATCAGTTACGCAAATTGCACAAGCATCGTTAATTATGACGCAAATCGAGATTGTTATCCCGCATACGCGCGAAATTGAATAATCCTGTAAAATCAATAGGCGCGTTGAAGTTTCAATTGAATGAGGACACGTGCACAGAGCGTGCACAGAGCGCTAATCGCTCGTCCGCTCGGCATGATATCGCGTAATCAAACATTTATTTCCATTCACACTTTATATACGGAAGAGAGAAAAAATCGCTCAGGCTGAGAGATAGGAGGGGGGGAGTTCGGAGCGCGAGGTTGCGCGCGAGGTCGAGCCTCGCCGCGATCGACGCTCGCTACCGAGAGGACACAGGCCACGCACGTGGCCGTGTAAGATCATACGAACTTCAACTGCTTGAATGCGGATCATGTATTGTATTGCATAACGCGCGAGTACAAAGTGCAGGTAAGGCGGCTCGCCGACGATGCACAGACGGGGAAACAAGTCGGAAGCGTCGAGTTACGGTCCTGGTGAAACTATTTGGTATACGGTGAATTTCTTTTCTCTCCCTCCCCCCTCCTCACTCCCACCATCCTCCTCTCCTTGTCGCCCACTCTCGCGCGAAGACGACACGGATCCGTCGGCTACATGATCGAAGTGAGACACGCGATCGGAGCGGGCGACCTACAGGAAGCTCGCGGCGTCGCGCTCATTCTCGCGACCCAATCTCGGGATGTAATCTCCTTGACCTTGAATATTTCGAGAATCTGGAAAGAGATCAAGGGTCAGTCACATAGGACGAGTCGCGCACGTGCGGTGTCTTATAAAGCGTCCGCATTGCAGGATTAATGAAGCTGTGACGCGCGCGCGAGCGCGAACGCGACTTTCTCGCGGACTGGAGAACGCGATTGACGTAACATCGAGCGAGGAACGAGCGTGATGTGTGTGTGGTGTGGTGGCAGTGTCGGTACCTCCATTCAACACCTCCGCGCGACGCGCGCGTTCCCGAGGAAGATTTAATTTAGCGAAAATAATGCGATCGATGCGCCGGATACTTCTGTAACATGCAAAGTCTGTCGCCGTCCGTCCGTTTTATCGCGATTGGTCATACGCGACGCTCCTTTCGTTCGTTAGCTCGACAGCTCTCCCGATTGTCGTGTCGTCGAGGGAGCCGAGGCACCTCGAACATTTTCATTGTCGGCGAAATGAAAGTCCGGCGGCTTTGATTGTTACGTGACGAAGATTCCGGATTCTCATAAATCTTGGCGCAATTTGTCCAATGCGCGCGCAACATGCATAAGGCCAGGTGAAAGATGAAATGTTTTTCTCCGTACCTCGCAGAACGGAATAGTATAGTCGGGGATCGTCGATCTTTTGTGCCGAGCGAGGGTCTTTGTAGCCGTACACGTGGTCGGTCATCAGCCATATACCGTTCTTCGGTGTTTTGTCGGCACGTTTCAACGCCAACAGTTTGCTCGCGTACTCTGCACAAAGGGGCGCGGTTGACGAGTAAGCAATTGTACACGATAAAAATGTGGAGCACATTGCATACAGGGTGTTGCATCCATGTACGGATCGGTATAACGGGTCGCCTTCGGGTTGCTTCGTTGGCAGGCGCGTGCGCGCCTCCAAACTCGACACGGACTTGGCGATATATAATTTTACTTTTGCACTCACTTTTCTTCTGATAAGCGTAAAAAGTTGCGAAAATGGTTAACGACATCTTTTAATCCTTTTACAAATGGATATACCGTCGAATCCGAAGCAACTCGTTGTTATACCGACTGGCCTTCGTGTCGATGAAACACCCTGTACATCTATTTTGAAAATGGAATCTCGAAACATTACAGTTATCTAAAGTTATTTAAATTGTGTCGCTAGAAAATGCTGCAAAAACGTGACGATGATAACGAAACGTCGATAACAATGCGGCGATAATAATGCTGCTGTCAATTGAAATTTATACGTCCATATTTGCATTATTTGTTCGATCAATTATTTCATTCGATGAGAGTCATTTTAATTAATAACATATCTGACGTGTTATGCACACGTGTTATATAACGGTATCCATGACAACCCGCGAACTTTTCCTCCGGACGTTTGCGCGTCGGAATTTTCTGTGGCAATACGAGAATTCATATCGTCGCGTTTACGATTCTTCAATAAAATTCAACGCAATTTTTTTTATCGCCGCTCGCAAAAATATCCACGCACACAGCGAGATGACGCGTATTTATTAACATTAGATCAAAATGAAAAAATTCGCTTCGATTTTGTGTCTTCCTCGATGGTGAGCATTTGTCGCGACAAGAGTTACGAATATTAGCGAGCATCATAAACGACAATTGGTCTACACATTTTTTTTCTCCTTTAAATGCGATAAAGTCAAATCCAATAAATTTATACTAGGTTCTCATATGTACAACAAATAAATAAGTAGACCTACAAGAGCCACAACGCCAGTTATTCGCCTTGTTAATCATTAAACACTGTATAAATTTGATTGAAAGTAAAGATTGAGAATTTTTCAATTATATATTCCGTTAATGAATATATTTGGCACAATAGACAATTTATACTGATACAGCCTTTACAGCCTTTCTTATTTATTGATTGTGCATCCGAGAGTCCATTGTAATTTTATGAAATCTGATCGAGAAAGGAAATCTTGATTCGAAATTTCTGATTGAAAATTCCGATTGACATCGAAAGCGAAAAATTCTCAAAGTTTCATTTTCAATTTCGTATAACGTTTATTAAATGTATTTTTTTCACAGTGGAGACCACTTGTGTTGGTTCTTGCAGGTTTCACTGCTTTTTTCGATCGCAAGCCAGATTCCTCTGAAAGACCGAACCGAATTTTTCAATCAGTTTATTATCAATAATTATTTATTAATTATTCGTGCTCCACCTTCGTAATCAAGATCTGCGAGACCGTCGGGATCTACGTTGCGCACAATATGTTGGAACTCGACGTCGGTTTCGGGCGACAGATCGTGAAATCGATTCGGGTTACCGAAGCTCGAGACGTCAGACCGTCCGACCCGAGGATAATACGCCATCATTCCTTGCGCTCGATCCAACTTGGGTAGGCTCAGCAGTTCCGAATTTCGGCCGATCCTGGGATACGGCACCAGACCGGCGGAGCGCCTGTCGTTCGCTTTGATTTTTTGACCTCCTGCAACGTTAATCGAGCCGATCAATTAGAGCGCCCATTGCGCGCACAAAATTATTTCCAAATACGTTCGCGCACGCTACTTTACATCGCGCCACATCGTAGCTCCTTTCTCCTTCCTATCATTGCCGTGCAATCGGCGGTGTCCGAGTGCTTGTCTGATGCAAACATCTACCGAAACTGTTCTATTTAGTTCGCAACTCGCTCAGAAGTGCGATAGCGACTTTGCGATCGCGATGGTGGGAAAGTAAGTAGTAACAGAGTACGAAATCTCATGCTGACTGATTGCGTCGAACAATGAATGTTTAATATAACAACATCGACGAGGAAGAGAGAAAGAGAGGGGGGGGGGGAGAGAGAGAAGAGAGAACTAGCGGCCGTTGAATATTGATGTTGAAAGCTTTTTGCAAATTTGCCTGTTAATTGCTAATACTTTCCGAATGTGCAAATTAAAAACGAAATTATCAAGCAGAGAATAAACAAATGTTACATTATTGTACACGCGTGCACACACACATGCCTTGACGATCATTTGAAAATTACACCGTTAACAATTCACGTCACTTACGATCTGTTACACGTTAGCACAGCGTGAAAAGCGCGAAAAAAGAGGTATACAGTGTAAATATGAAATAATATATTTTTGAAATCCGAAATATATGCCGGCGATGCGTGAACGTTATAATATTTTTTGGCGCGTACGCTAAATGGCAAACAACTCACTTTCGTCAAAAGAAAAAAAATAAAAAACGGAGAAGAAACCACGACGGGTATTAATTTGTCCGGAACGAAAGGGCCATTGTTGAAGCTGCTATTGTCATTAAAGTAACCAAACGGCGCACATTCGACGACACTCGAGCGCAGCAGAATGTCGAAAGACATTTCAGAAAGGATATATGGCAAAATTCCGCAAAATTACGGTGTCTCTTTCTCGCGGCGGTTTTCTACTATTTGCTCTGCCTGCGTAATATGATTCAAATCGGACCAAGCCACACACACACACACACGCGCGCGCGCGCGCGCGCACACAGATAGAAGAAGTGGATAGGGGTGAAATTAGGGCGTGTGTGATACAGAGAAATGTCACACAAACGTAACGAAAGACACTATGCGACACTCATGCGAGTCTCTTGCCTCGGGCAGATTCGAAGTGCTGGCCGACCGAGCATCTGGCAACTGAAAAATAAATAGGACGTCGTCGACGTTTTCTTTTTTCTTTCTTTCTTTTTTTTTTTGTTTGTATCAGAGGGGCCCGTGCGACATCATAATCCCTAACGATTTAATTTACACTCGCATTCGCGGCGCTCAGCGATTTCCTGCGGGAATCTCACATAATACTGTTTTCCCCCGTGTCGCCGCGGCCTTTTTTTTTGCACTTAATCCCCCGTCCTATTTCATTTTTACTTCGCGCCGGGAATTGCCGCGTCCGAGTCCCAGTTTGGTCTCGGCGAAGATGAATTAACTAAAGCGTTGTGTGCGCGGCGGCGCAATCAAAAGGCGCAACTTTTAATATTAGATTAGCTTACGTATCGTCACTCATTTCACTTATAACTCTCGCGATATCGATCGTATCTACAAAATAATGTCGCACTGAGAGAGGTTCGAGTTTAACTATTTTTACCATTCTACAAGTCCGATCAACTTCTCTCTCTCTCTCTCTCTCTCTCTCTCTCTCTCTCTCTCTCTCTCTATCGAGATGAATACTTGCTCATTTCGAAAGTGCACGTATTTTTCAGAGAGATTGTTATTTCCGACGATATTTCAGCTTCGAAAGGTTATACACGTGTGCTTTATACTGTTTTTTATAAGCGTGGTCCAAAAAGTTTTACATGAAAGAGAAGTGGCGAGTACCGTGTGCGTTTGTTTTGACTGAAAGTTATGACTTGAAAGAGAGGCGATCGTGATGGTGGCCAGAGGTGAAAAGAGGAATGACGCCTTAAGAAGAATGAGACAGCTCCCGCGGTGTGTTGACTTACGATTGAAAGAAGTAGAAAATACCAGAAGGAGCACGAAAACGAAAATTAAGTTGTCCTGCATTTCTATGACCGTTGATACTGGAGTTTCTATGTAACGATGCTGCGGAGCTTAGAATCGCACCGACACTGAATACCTCCAGTCACCGGGCGTCCGATTTTATACCTAGCGCCTCCACGCCGATCACGGGGTTGCCACCCCACAGTTCAACCCCCTCGTCGCAGAGTCTCCGACTCGCTTCTCGCCCCTACTCCTCGCGGGACCGACGTACTTTCCGCGTTCTACGTAACGCACGTTAGGTCCTTTTTTTCAGGGAGGAAACACTAACATTGTTTCTTGTTGGCTCTATCGTCTCACGGGATAACGCTGCACGGAGAGCACGCAGAGAAAAATTTCGAAAAAATTTCTCAAACAGGTTTAATTTAATTTCTTTTTTTATCATTTCCAAGATGCATTTGGTTTTTTTTTTTTTTTTTTAATAAGTATTTTCCAATATTAACAAGAACAAAATCATTCTTTTTCTTTAATTATAGAGATTCTCTACACACAAGAGGAGATATTATATTCCGAGTAATTCTCAGAGTTGAGTACAACAAGAGTTGATCAGTTAGAAGTTGAATTAAAAATCCAACATTTGAGAACTTTTATAGCTTAAATTAAATAGCTTGTATAGATTAAATTAGAGCTGGGCGATAACAAATTAATCGGTTAGAAGTTAGATTAAAATTTCGGTAAATTTTAAATTTATTTTTGTTTGTATTCTTTTATCTATATTTTCGTTTATATTATTTTAGTTAGTAACTTTTACCTTAAACTAATTAATTAAATTATTCTTAAGTGTAATACACCGTTAATTCATTAACTCTTTTGCATAAGTAAAAATAATTCAGTTGATATGGAAATCAAAGCTGTTGAAAATGTAGTATAAGAAAGATCAAAAGTAACACCAATAAAATTGCTTCCTCTCTTTGAACATAAATGCTTCCTCTTTGTACGTGAGATCCTAGGCAAAAAACAGTCGGTATCCTTTGCAAGAAACCTTTCAATTGTTTCATTTAAATTTGACATACGATTAAAAAGTTGATTATACAAAAGGATATAGATATTGCTCTTTGCGTAATTAACTTTTAAAACTCCGATAAGTTAATGTAATCTTAACTTAATTTTTAAATGACTCTTTTCTCTTTTAAATAACTCTCAATTTAACGAAGGTAATGTTAAATAGGTTTTTTCAAGTTAAGTTTATCTTAATTAAAAACATATATGTATATATATTTACAGTGTCCCATTTTCAATGAACCAGGCAAAAATATCAAAAAATATGAAAGATACTAAAAAACGTTTCAGACAAAGTTATATGATTTTAAGGAGGACATAAAACAACTATATCATTTTGTTTACAGACTTTCGAGATTCATTCTCGCGCCACTTTCGAGATATTCACTGATCATTACTTTTCTTAAATGGAAACCCTAATTCTTTATTACATCATCTTTTTCTACCAATTAATTTGAACAACTTTCGACTGAAACATTTTTATGTGCCTATATATTTTTTGAGACATTTAAAGAAAAACTTGATAACTTTTTCAATATTTAACTTACAATATTTTGTCGGAAGATGAAGTGGTACTAGATTTTTTTACTCTATTTGATCTCAAGAATATATTATTACAAAAGCGCCTTGACTTTTGTTAATTTGATGATTTTGAAATTTCCAAAGATCGATAAATTAACAAAAGTTAGGACACTGTTGTAACAATATATTCTTGAAAGTAAATAGAGTAAGGCCTGGTCTACAATAGATGTTGTAAGCTGTAAGCCGTAAGAATTGACCAATCATAGCCGATTATTTTTGTAATAATCGACTGTGATTCGCCAATTTTTACGGCTTACAACTTACGACACGTATTGTAGACCAGGCCTAAGAAAGTCTAGTACTGTTTTCTCTTCCGATAAATAGTTACCGATATCGTAAGCTAAATATTGAGAAAGTTATAAAATTTGTCCTTAAATATTAAATTTGTTTAAAAAAATATTAAGCAAATAAAAAAAATATTTCAGAGAAGAATTGTTAAAATTAATTGAAAAAGATGTATAACAAAAAAATTGGGATTTCCCTTGAAGAGAAATAATGATCAACGAATATCTCGAAAGTGGCGCTATTTATAAACGAAATGATATAGTTGTTTTATATTCCCGTTGGAAGCATACAACTTTTGTCTGAAACGTTTCTTAATATCTTTCATATTTTTCGAGACTTTTGTCTGGTTCACGGGACACCCTGTATTAACCTAATCAAGCCTCACTGGTAAATTTCTCGCAAATTTTATGGTCGCTATCAATGTCATTAAGGAATATTGCAGTGTCACAATTGTATTATATACAATTATCTCACGATCGACGCTCATTCGATATTGTATGGACCCGGCCGGATGAAAAAAACGCATTTCACCGGGCGAGCAAACATCTCGCCGTCTCTGAGCGCGAGCTACTTCTCAGCGCAATTAATAAAGACTGCTTCTCCCTGTCTCTCTTTTTCTCCGTGTTTCTCTCTTTCTCCCTCGATACACAATACAATTTGCAGTCTTTCAAAGACTTCCCCTATGCACCACGTCGCGCGTATAAGCGCCAACCGCAATTTTTCTCTCCACGCGCGCGCTGCTATGATATCGGCATATATTATTAATTCGTACGGCGAGAGGTCGATTTTCATGTGGCACCCGCGACGACCTTCAGGACGACCCGGGCCCTATCTGCCGGAGGGAAAGATATTGATCGGCCGGCGCATTTTCGAGGGTACCAGCCGGGAACGCGGAGCGATCCGTTACCGCTCCCGTATTACGGTAATTCGGTCGCGGTAAAACGAGTGGGTATAAAACGAGGCCGTATTACGTTGATAACCGGGATAACATATAGATTTATATACGCGTGATGTGATTATCGCACGACAGATTATGACGTATTACCGTCGCACTCCGTGATGTATCCGTCCCGGTACATTTTCCCGGACACACTCGGTGCCACCTTAATCTCCATAACGTGCGATCGCGATACTTTTCCGCGGCGTTCCGGCACACTCCGGCGCGACGACGCGACGGCGCGCCGATCGATCGGCAGTTTCTCCAAAAGTCCGGCTGGAAAAAGCGCACCGATAAAGATAAGCGCTCTCGATACCGTAGATCAGGAATTTATAGCTTTACAGCGCGATTCTATTTTAACACACGTGTTCTTCTTTTTCAGTTGAAAGGGCAACGGGGGAACGGCGAAGGAACGGGGGAGGGGGGGATTTGACACGTGCCACAGTAATAGATGGCGATATTCACTTTTCCAAAGCGCGAATCGCGTCGACGCGTGACGAGAAAGTTCGAATGCAATACGACATTTTTCAGCCGTGAAAAAGTTCTAATATAAAACGACATTTTCGCGTGTGACGGTTTCTGCGCTTTTTTTCCCTTTCCTATTTCTTTTTTTTTTTTTTTTTTTTTTGAGGAATGGCAGCGGAGGAGGCGATCAATTCATCTGCGGCCGAAGGAGAACGCGAAACAAAATGATCGACACGGTTTCGCGAGCCGCTGCGGGTTTTCATCGGGTTTTGCCTGAATGCGCGGCGAAATAACAAAAATGTCGCTATCAATATCGCCGCGCGAGGACAAAGGAGAACTCGCGGAAATTCGCTCGGGGTGGCCAGCGGATACGTGAGGATGTAGGTAAGTAGTTCCGGGTAGGTAGGCAGGAAGAGTGAAAAATCGCAGGCGACATCCGTGGCTAGCTAGGGTTGCCAGATGGTGAGGATTTTCGGAAGTGTCTCAGAATTCTTAATCCTTTGAGGCATGTATTTTTCAGAAAACCCCGATCACATAAAAATTTATATACGGGAGTTTCTGGGGGGTCGCTGATGACGAATCCGTTATCAGATTTTCGAAATTCAAGATGGCGGATCCAAGGTGGCGGCCACAATATGAAAAATCGCCATAATTTCGGTGACAATGAGCTTTGGACCTCGGATTCGTAATCAACGACTTTGAAAGCTAACCAAAGTACAATTTTAGCTAATCATATGAAATTTTATAACCCGCCATCTTGGTAAATAAATTTTAGAATTTAGACCTCAGATTCGTAATCAGCGAGCTCAAAAACTAACCAGAGTACAATACAATTTTAGCTAATTTGATGTACATTCTATGATCCGCCATCTGAAATCCGCCATCTTGGAAAATGAATTTTAGAATGTGGACCTCAGATTCGTAATCAGCAACCTGAAAAACTAACCAGAGTACAATTTTAGCTAATTTAATAAAAATTCTATGATCCGCCATCTCGAATCCGCCATCTTGGAAAATTAATTTTGGAATTTAGATCTCAGATTCGTAATCAGCGACCCAAGAAAAACCCCAAATCTTGATTTTGAGCAAAAAATTCACTCATAGTTCGTGGAAAATGATTATTTTCTGTAAAAATGTGTATTTTTCACACTTTGTTTATTTATAATAAATGGACAACTTATGCAAAACACTTTTTAACTGTTCATGCATGTTCCCATATCATATAAGAAACTAAAAAGCTCGACAAGAATCTTTCAAATATGAAATATTTCATGAGAATAAATAAAGGTGGTAAGTATACTTACCACTATGCCTCAAAGGGCATTAAGCTTGTCCCGTGTCCAGGAATTTAAGTCTTCTATCCCGGAAAATCACAATTTCAACAAAATCATAATCATAACATTCAAATTTCAACAAAATCATAATCATAACATTCATGTTCCTAAGTGGTATCAGAGAGAAACTTGAGATCGGCCGCGACTTGTAGGGTCGAATTTTCCGACGTGCCACCTGAGAAAACTGATGTCAACCATTATCGTGGTGAAAAATACAGTCACACGGTTTATGTCCGAACTTCTCTCTGCTGGTACCTAATTCACGCATTTGTTTGTTGCGAGTGCGGCATCTCTTAGCTGTCTCTTACCCCTCCATCTCTCAAATTTAACTAAAATTCTCTAGCAACCTATGTTTCAATCGTTGCCTAAAAAATGTCCCGGAAACGGTCATTTCGCATTTGGCAACCCTATCCGTAGCTCATACTCAGCCGCCGGCGCAGCTGTTCGAGGAACAATGTGCGCGACACGAAAATCTGTGCGTCATGATTAAC